CAGCTTCACACCTACTAGATGAAGTCTGCGTGTTTGCAGTTCGCTCCCATGTTGTAACATGGCACAAAGAATATTCAGATATTAACATGTTTTTCTTCCTCCTCCCTATCCTGTCCTGATCAGTTTTCCTTATGTAAAGACAAGATTTTGAGAGCTTTCAGATTATATTGTGAGTTTTAAAATTGCCTTAATGGCTTTTGATTTTTGTCCCCAGATAATTTACAATTACAGCTGATCTTAACTGTCTCAAAAAGACCTGAGCAGAACCTTGTGTATTTGGATAAGAAACCATCAAAAAATCCCAGAATTGTAGAGAAATTTTAAAAAAACCAATCCTCCTAGAAAAAGAAATTGCAAACCAGTTGTATTGTTGCCAAAAAAACAACATGGAGTTAAGTTTAATTGAAGAGACTTGACTCCAAAATGTATGTCTGTACCCCAACATATAGCCAGAATGTATTGTGGATTATGTTTTGAAATTTATGGAACAATTTTGTTGTGGTAGTATTTGCCATTCAGATTGAAAAACTGAGCTTTTGTAAGTAAACTTGAAATACAGGTTTCGGCCTACCTTGTCATAAAGTCGTGTTTTAATACAGAACATATACACTTATACAACAATATTGTACTATTTATATACTATGTTATACATAATGTAATGTATATATTACATTAATGTACAAAATATAATGCACATATTACAATTATGTATCAATATATAATAATGTAGCCTTACACCTAAATATCAATTTATGCATATGAATATGCATGGGTTTGTAGATGCAGTTGAAGCAGCGGAGAATGACCTTCAGATCAGTTTTATCTTTGTTGATTATTGTGTGCTCTAATTCAGCACTGCGAAAACCTGTTTTTTCTTGCAGTTAGTTGTAATCTGTGTGGTTCATTGTTGACTAGATGTTATAAAGGAACCTATTAATATTTCTTTACTTTGGGACCATTTAAGATTTTGTTAAGGTCTGAGCAATTTAAATTAATTTAATGTACGGGACATTAATATTCTATTTTTAAACCTTATTTTGAAATCCGATTGATTGTGACACTGGAGAAACCTGGGAAAAGACCGCCTGATTTTGAATTGTACTTCTACACTACAATTGTAAAAAGTCGTTATAAAATGTTTCTCTTTTGAAGTAGACTCAAGAAAGACTCAAGAGAATCAAGAAAAATAATGCTATGTTAAAATCCTATCAAACAATTGTGAGAAGCGGTAGTGACAGTGAATGCACCATTTTTAATTTTTAATAAGATACTATTAATAAATATAACCCATACAAATGAAAGCTTTTGGGATACTCTATAATTTTTAAAAGTGGGAATGTCTAATGAAAGACAAATGTTTGAGAAACACTGTTTTACGGTAATGTAGTTTTTTTTCTTTTTCATTCAGTGATATATAAGTATACTTTAATCCAGATGCTACTGTACTTCAGGTTAAAACAGTGTTTCTCAACCTTGACAATTTTAAGGCATGTGGACTTCAACTCCCAGAATTCCACAGCCAGCATTGCTGGCTGTGGAATTCTGGGAGTTGAAGTCCACATGCCTTAAAATTGTCAAGGTTGAGAAACACTGGGTTAAAAGATGGACATATATTTTCTGGTTTCAGATAATAGCTTCATTTCAGTCTCCAGACTAATAAAATAAGGGGAATGGTTATTTATTGTAAAAATATGAGAAGAAACAGTTGCACAGTGAATTTAAATGCTATCGTGAAGATAGAATTTACTGCTTCTGTGCCCAAATAGTTTTTAACATACCTATTGTTGTAATCTAATATCATAAATTTACTTAAAGATCCTGTGGATGCCAGTAGAACTATTTCAAAGCTATCATACTTCTTTAGGTATTTACCATTATTGTTTTGAGGTTCCTATCTAACACTAGGGGAAAATGGCATTATTTTTAAATATTCTGAACTCTGAATCAAAGTTCTTGACATAGAACTAAGAAGTTTGTTACCAGAAAATTTTGGCAAAAAGCAGAATGATGCAGTTGCCTTAGGCATTACTCATAACTCTTGTGGGGAAATTTTACCTAGTCTCCCAGAAGTAACATGGATAAAATGGTTGTAAGAATCAGCTGGTAACAGAGGTGCATGCAATACTAGTCTACATTGATTTCTTGTATGCCCTACTTTACCCAGAAGGGGGAACAAGTTTTGTAATACCATGTAACTGGTGGAATTTCAACTATTAATTGTTTAATTGAAATATTTCTTTGAATCCTGTACATTTTACTGGTTCAGTAGCAAACCTCTTTGGATATAAGCTGACAAAGTAGAGACACAAAAAGTAAAATTGTCTGGTTTAATTATAGATTAGAAGGGACAAATTGTAAAAGTTTTGTAAGTGGCCAATCATGAGCCTTTAAAATCCCTTGAGATAAATGTTGCATTTTAACTATTTCACATGAAAGCCCACTGAGTTAAATCAACTTGAGTGAATAGCATTGGGTGCTTAGCAGCAGAATGCTACTTGCATAGTTTGTTAACTTAACCTCTGATACTTGCAAAGTTCTTAGAATAAAAATCTCACATTTGAATGGCTGTTTTATTTGTGAGGATCAAGGCCTTGATCTCTCACAAATTCTGCAGAATGTATGCCCTTCTGTTTCATGAGTTACTATTTAAATAGTAGTGAGGCAGTCTTTGGAACCAGTTTTTCCACATACATTGGTAAGAAAATCAGTGGTGGGATTTAGCTGGTTCGCACCACTTTGGCAGAACCAGTAGCTAATTTTTTGTTGCCCAGGTCCAGAATGGACTTCTGGAAGCGGCATCCACACAGAGAACCAGTTGTTCACATATTTGAATCCCACTACTGAAGTAAATATATATAACAGTATTTAGCTTTCATTAAATTGAATATTCTTATTCATTGCATAGTTAGCCAGATGTTCAGATTGAATTTGACATTTTTGTCCACCTATCTTCCCAAGGACCTGGGTTAGGTAGATGTGGATATTGGATGGTCTTAAAAGTATTGTTGCAGGATGTAAGCTGTTCCAAGTAAAGCTGTCTTTTGCAATTGACTGGTGGTGATTTTGTCAATGCTGATAGTTCAAGTTATATAAATATTGGTGTTATTAAATGTTAGATCGTCAAAAGTTATGTAAAATGTCTTTGATAATTAGGCTTTTGAAGAAACTTTTTTTTGAAATAAACATTAAAAGAGATAAAATATTTTTAAGATCAAAAGCGATCCCTTGTATTCTCATAAGGAGCAGCCATCTGGAACACATGTGGGAGATCTCATATCCTTTTCTTATCCTATCTCTCAGTCATTGTCTTTAGTTTGCCATACCTCCTTCAGAAAGAACTACCACTTCCCATGACATCACTGTTTTGTAAGAAGAAAATGCAAAATAGGAATTTAGAAGTTCAACCTTCTCCCTGCTGTCTGTCATCACCTTGCCGTCCTCTCCAACCAGCAGACTGGCAATTCTGTACATATCCAAAGAACCCCTTTTTTTGTAATTTTTTGCATTCATTGTGAGACTCAATTCCTTCAGGGTGTTACTTTTCTGACATTATCCTTACAGAATTGAACCTTCCTGATATTCTTTTTTTTATACGCCTTTCTTTCTTATTTTAAACTTGTAGTTTTTGTTTATTGGTTCATCACAAAGTTCTTTATACAGCTATGCCAGTCATCAATAGTGTCCTATTATTATTATTTTTGACTTGGAATTGTTTGTGTTGGGCCTTAATTATTTCATTTCTCAGAATTTCATACTAGGCTGGGTTTTTACCATTGGTCCATATATCCATCTAGGTCTAGTCACTTACGTATAATGCAACCCCCTCCATTTTAGTTGAATGTGAACAAATTATATATTTTAAGTACTATATACTAATACTTGAGTTATATCCACCAGGTATCACTAATACCAACAATGTCATATTTGCCTCGTCCTCAGTATTGGACTTAAAATTCTCCATTTCTGAGCCATTAGTACTCAGAATGGTACTTTAGTACTATTTTCCTTTACTTGCTTACTGCATCTCGTGATGTATTCTTAAGTGCTGCTTTATTTTTTGTTGTAAGGCTTATTGCTTTGAGTATGGTCTTCCCTCCCTTCCCATGTTTAGTTTAAAGCCTGCCTGAACTGAAATACATTCTTCCCAATTTTATGAGATCCAGCCCCTCTCTTGGCATACCAGCACTTGAGCCAATGGTTCTCCTCCAGAATCCTCTATTCCTTTCTTGGGACATGATCTTCATTTAGAAGTATGGATGAAAACACAATTTGTCTTTCAAATACTGTAATTTTCCTTCCTAGTTCTTCCTTGTTCTTCTACCAGACTCATTCTGGCAGTATTATTCCAACACAAAAGAGAAGAAAAAGATAGCAGTTCAGGCTGGATTACTCAGTCCAGCCTCTCTTCTTGCATCCCATATTTTTGCATGTGAAAGACAACATACTTTCCTTGATACCATGTCTGCTCTGCAGACCTGTTCCTCTCAGCAGTGAATCAGCATCACCACCACAGGCATTTTCTCTTTTGTGACCATCATTGAATTCTTCTCTGAAGAAGCCAGTTTCTCTTCTCCCTAAACTTGAAACACTGTGGCAAAAGAGAGAAAAAAACATTTTCAGAAGTCCATAATCACATTCTGGGGCAGGGCCTGAAATTGTGCAACTCCAGCAACAGACACTGGTTAGGTTCAAGTGCAAATCATCATAACATTTTTAATTTCAAGAGAAAATAGTTTTTAAGCATGACACAAGATGTTTTAAGCCTTTTGGAATAGTTGCAAGATCAAAATAAAATGTTTTGTACCCAGAACAGGCTTATGTTAAGTGTAAAACACTTCCAAAATGGTTGAAATAGCTCATTTGACATTCAGAATAACACTTTCGTGCTTGAACTGGGAAATTTGGGGGTGATTCATGATTGAAATGAAATTAACATTGTGTACATTCTGAATGAAGAATTTTTTTAATATGTAGTAACCATTTTCCCTTTCTTTTAACAGAAACCATAGTCCTTTAATGAGTTTTGGAGCCAGCTTTGTCAGCTTTTTGGTAAGTGAATTTAAATACTTATGTTGTTACTGCATGGCATTCCTTTGTTGCCTTACTGATTTTGAAAATGTATCACTAATTTTGAAATTGTAGATTTAGTAAAAAAGTTACTTGGAGACACCAGTACATATTTTTCCCCAAGAGATCCAATGCTGCATCAATGAAATAGAATAAAATGAGAAGTGTAAGAGTTCTTGTATGGATTATTATGCATTTTATTTACTTTTCTGAGGAATTGTCACATGTGAGCAACTAGGCCCACAGGTGCAGAGTTCGAGCTAACTACTTTATTATATTCTGTCTATAATACAGGAATCTCTCCAGTCTAGCAGTCTACTCTTGGGAATAAGCTCCAAGGAACTTAGGAGGGGTCAGTCCTAGCCCTTTTGCAATTGTACAATGACTCCAGGTTAACTGCACAATTGATCTCTCCTCTCTGCCAGGCTGGGTGCTTCCCAACAGGAATAGAACTAAAGGATTTGTCTTAGTTTTACTACTACATTCCTAAACATTTTTTCAATCAGGGGAAACAGAGATTGCAGAATAAGGGACTATCCCCTCACATGTGCATATGTACTGTATTCACTATCAGTGTCTGCACAAAACCAAGCCAGTTCTTTAATCATTGTTGAACAAGGTATTGTGATCTGCTTCATATGTAACACTAAACCATATTAGCTGGGGTTGTATGTCACCAAAATCTAGCAAAATTATATTATATGTCAGTTTTCCCTTCTATTCTGTCACTCTGACTAGATTCATACATTGCATAAAGCTTAAATGTGGTTTGGTTGGAATTTACCATTCAATAATTTCTATAATAAATGATCTACTGTATTATGATGCTGATAAACAAGTATCCTATTTGCATGAACACATAAGAAAGTTAATGAAAGATTTTAATGTATTATAAAGTAGTTGCTTCACTATCTATAAAAAGAAAGGATGTTGTGGTACTTCTAGGCCAAGTATATGAATATAATAGCTCTACTTCCATTCTTTATTGGCATTATGTAAGAAATCCTGCTAAAAATATAGGAAATAACTTGTTTGATAAACCCCTTGATATATGAGTAGTTTTATAAATCTTAAATTGAAGAGTTTTATTTGAATATATTCTTGTCTTTTGTAAAGAGATTGGAAATAGGTTTTTCCTCCTTTATTTAAATGGATTGCTTACTTAAGTGGGATTTTTGAGTGAGTATAACAATCCAATATAGCAACATTATATCCTGCAATGCTTCTTCTGTTCTAAATATAGCTGCAGTAGTTTATGTTCCAGTGTAATTCAGATATTCTATTTAAAAAAATGGAAAATGTATTGTGTTGAAATGAAGATTAACTTAACGCATTTCTTCATATCTTTAATTTGAGTGGAAGCATAGAATTCTTTTAATACATATAGATTTTGTTTTCCATTAGCAAACTTATAGAGATATAATTTGTGGCAATAGCAGTAACTAGAAGAGAATTTATGTATCTTAATTATATTTTTAGTTACTATAATACGACAGTTTCAGATCAGCTCTGTACAAAATCTTATAATGATCTGGTAATCTTATAACAATCTTATCAAGTTGATTGTGATTATTCCTTTTCATTGTTTTCAGTTTTAATAAAATTACACCTTCAATATATGAGGAGTGATTTGAGAAATAGATTTATTTTATTACATACGTAAAAAAGCAAAAAATATATATCAAGGCACTGATTTTAAGGAGTACACATGCTCTGTTGTAAATCCTAATTCAGATTTGCTTAAATCTAAACTGCTAAACAGAGTTTTTAAAAAATGTCATTAAAAATACATACATACATGCATATATGTAGACACATTTGAGGCATCATGATTATGAAGGAGTATTACTCGACATCTTAGTAGTTACATTGATTTTGTGTTTAACAGTATACTATTTTTCTTTTAAGAAGATTTCATCCTTTTAGCATTGTAGGCAATTTACAACTGTAAATATACCATGGGTATTTTTTGATTTTGCAAAGTTGTGCCAGTTTTCTTCAGCAAAGAGCCTTGTGAAACCTTAAAGATTAATATATTTATTGTTGCATAATGTGATAATAATTTATAGTGTAGCACATTCATTATATGATAATTTGTTAGTTTTTAAAAGGCCAGAAAAATAATATTTTTATTAAATTCTCAACTTCCCAGACAGTTACTTTTAAGTGAAGGGTTCTTATATATAATTATATCTTAGTTAATGAAGTTGCTTCAAAAAGCTTCTAAAAGAACAATATAATATCATTAGTTTTGTAAAATAGCAAATAGGTTTAGATTAGTTTGGCACTTTTAAGTTCAGTAATCTTTTTATGTTTTAACAGAATGCCATGATGACATTTGAAGAAGAGAAAATGCAGCTGGCATGTGACGATTTAAAAGCTACCGAAAAATTATGTGAGAGTGAAGAAGCAGGAGTTATAGAAACAATAAAAAATAAAATTAAGAAGAATGTAAGTGAAACATTGTCAATACATGGATGAATGAGTCTGTGCCAATACGATACTGGTTTATATATGCCTGTCCTATGGGACTCCATAGCATGTAATATGCAGTAATCTCATATTCAGTTTTGTTGCTTTTTATAGAAAATAATTCCACCTAAAAGTTAGCTCTTATAATTGATAGACAGTCTATTGTCTTCTAATAGCCTAAACGAAATATAATCTTATTTGGCTATGTTCTATATATAAAAACTTTTCCCTAACAAGATTAGTTGGTGAGCTTTTCATCAAAATGCTTGCCTAGTTCTTTAATCCAATCTTCTCTTTCCCCTCTGTTTCCACTTTTTAAGTAAGAAGTAAATGGCAGCTGTTGTCCCATCATATCTGTCCATAGTTATCATGTAGCCTTCAGAATTCAGAATTTTACTAATGCTTTTACCTAGTTGATGGAAATATTTGCAACATTATGATTTAGTTGTTTATGTCTTTGCTTGCCTTTGGATCTTTATTTGTCTTGCTAACTCTTAAAAATAAAAATTAAAACCACAAATTTACGTTATGCCTTTAACTAACAATTTAGATCATTACATAACTACAAATAGCTTTTACTTAATTTGCTGCCTGGATCATGTAAATATAATAGCATCTACCTTCAATGGAAATAGAAGAGTGAACTTTAACTAATATTCCTATTAAACGATCACATTCATGCTACATATCTTTCCTAGTTTGGTGGAATTAGGTCTAATAAATGTCATAGTCTATAAATAATTTAAGTTTTGGCTTCCTTTGAGAACATACTGCATTATTAATGTTGCGTGCATAGAATCTGAACCCTTTGTTTAGTATCACTATTCTATATAATTTTTAAAGGATTATGTAGAGCTGGTCTTTGTATCTGTTTCCTGATTATTCTCCGTAGGAAACTTGCTGTAAAAGACTAGGGAGAAGAGAGCCAATCTACTGGGGGGACAGTAGTATACCATGTTAAGTAATGGCATTGCTGAGCTAGGGGGAAAGGTTGGTGAAAGATAATTAGAAAAAAAATATTGTACAAAGTTCACATAGTTAATATTCTAGATATGACTTAACTCATACCTTTAAATATTTTTGATATAATATATATCTAAATATGTCTAAATCTGAATATTATATTGATGCAAACTTATCATATTGTATATCATATTACATTGATGAACATTTTTAGAGAACCTAAGTTTTTAAATAAAGGATAGTGAATGTTTTAGCTTTTCCTTCAACAAAGGGCATTTCAAAAAGTTTAAGAAATATAGGTCTGCCTAATTTCCATTTGCATTTTTTACTTTGAATAGAATGCATTACAAGCCAATTCACCCTGCCTATCCTGACCAAATTTAAATGATTAATATTTTAATAAGATTAAACCAAGGGTAGGCAACCTTGGCTCTTTTATGACTCGTGGACTTCAACTCCCAGAATTCACGAGCCAGCATAACTGACTCGGGAATTCTGGAAATTGAAGTCCACGAGTCATAAAAGAGCTAAGGTTGCCTATCCTTGGTTTAATCTGTAGCACTGTTTTTTTTATAGCTGGGTGACATAGGAAAAAATATAAAGCATTTCTGATTGAGAGAATTAACTTCCAGAAAAATGCCGCAACACACACAACACACACACACAAATTCACACACATCGTTTGGCTGTAACTGGTGTGACCCAGAATGTTCCATTCCTAGAATGGTACATTTTATACATATCTGATTAATATGCTCTTCCTTATTTTCAAATAGGTTGATGGCAGGAAGACTGCCCCATCCATGATGGAACGATTGCAAAGGCAGATCATTATGGCAGACTGTCAAGTTTACCTTGCTGTGCTCTCTTTTGTAAAACAAGAATTATCGGGTAAGCTATGACTTTTACTTTTTTAATAATTAACATTTATTATCTTAAAATCAGGATGACTTAAATGATTTGTTTCATAGCATACAGTATAAAAACTTGTGTAAATTATGAATGCCATTAATTTAAGATCCAACATATATTATAAATATTTCTAATCTAACTCAACTCTAAGCGTAATAAATAGGTGTGCCTTTGTCATAGTTTTTGTGATTGATGGTAGGCATTGAGTCTTGCTGTATCTCAAAAAAAGTTATCATTCTTCAAAGGAAAAAAAAATCATCGCTTCCAATTTTTAGTTATCATCATGCTTGTTACCTTCTCTTTTTTGTGAATTTTAATTCCTGGCAACTACATTACCTGTTTTTCTAAATGCTAGGTAGTTTCTAATCTTTGGTTATATCCACCATATATAAACAAATGTCTAATTTTTATACTTACACAAGCAGAATATAGTTTATTTGTGGTTATATTTGCTTGTTTACCTATAGATTATTTTGATATAAAAATCTGTGATTTGGGCAGAATATGAGAATAAATCTTTATTAACCATTTGGCAAGTGATTGTTTGAAATTATGATGCTGCTGGAAGGGACTTAATGACCAGTGCCTGAAGTTATGACCATTGCAGAACCACCATCACCCCAGTCACATAATTACGGTCTAGGCTCTTAGCAACCCCTTCACACTTACAAAAGCTTACTACTCTCCCTGTTCCCCCCTCCCCTCCCCCCGTGATCATGTATTTGCCATTTGCAATCTTCCCTACTGGCTTCCTCAGAAAGTCAACAGGGAAGCTGGCATGGAAAGTCACAAGCCGCCGCCATAGGACTCCTTCTGGTTCCTGGAAGCTGGCTGAAAAAGATCTGTTGTGACCCATTTTGGAATGGCCTTTTTCATCCAGTTTCTTTGTGAGCTGAAGGGCTGTCTGCCAGATTGATTTTGCCCTGTGTGGGGTGGAGTCTCTCCACCAAGCAGCCCTTTTGCTCTCAAAGACACTGGCTGAAAAAGTCCATAATGAAAGCCAAAAGGGGTTTTAGCAATAACAATAGCACTTAGACCTGTATACCGCTTTATAGTGCTTTACAAACCTCTCTAAGCAGTTTACAGAGTCAACATTTTGCCCCCAACAATCTGGGTCCTCATTTTACCGACCTCGGAAGGATGGAAGGCTGAGTCAACCTTGTGCCGGTCAGGATTGAACTGCTGGCAGTTGGCTGAGTTAGCCTGCAATACTGCATTCCAATCATTGCGCCACCATGGCTCTTTTAGCACAGGACACTTGCAGCATGGAGCATTTGATGCCAGGTTGGAGCCAAGCTTCCAGCAAACACGATCTTCCTAAAGGGCGGAAAGGCTTTCCCCAGCATAGTGGGTTCTTTCTGCACATGGAGGGAAGGGAGAGGGGAGGAGAGTTGGCCAGAGAAAGAAAGCTCAGATCTTGGGGGTCCAAGCTTCATTTTTCCATCCCAATGGAGAAATTCCCTTCTGTGCATGGAGGAGAGCTGCCTGTGCTCTTTCAGCAGGCAGCTCTTTTCACTCTGTGAAGAGGGATTGCAATCATTGAGCGAGGCAGTCCCATGGGTGCCTCACTTAATGACCGCAACTACTTAAACCAAAATTTTGGGCTCAATTGTGGTCATAAGTCAAGGATGACCTATATAGACTTGAAATAAGCTGGAGCCTCTAATACTTTGTGTGTGTTTGGGTGTAGCATGTGGTTGGAAGTTCGGTCACTTGCATTCTGTGTTATGAGAAGGGAGTGCTATGTTTTGTTATTAATTAAATTAATAATGAAATTCAGTTTTAATTCTAGCATCTTTTTGATAACACAATTTCTATTGTTAAACATTCTATTGTTAACATTTCCCTTTGATCATAGCTTCCTTTCTACATGGCTAAATACAATTTTAAAACACGACAAATCACTTGTTGGCATATGATTACTAGTTTCTATTAATACTGGCAAAAATATTTCTAATTAATCAGTTGATGACATAACAGCAATATATTATAAGCAAAACCGGTGCTTTACTGATTATTTACTAATTATGTATAATAGCCTAGATATATATATGGAAATATATAAGGTATCCTAACAGATACTTTAAGTAATTAAGTATAATTGAGTAATGATGTTTAACAGAAAGGTATTCTGGCTAGAAAAATAGCAAAGCTATATAACGTTTTTATGAAATGTTCCTCATATTTCTTATTTTATTTGTGATTGCAACATCCAAGGTGAAACGGGTAGAATTTTTGTCCATTTCTCCATGGTTACTGAAGCATTGCTGAACATTTATTGGACAAACGCTTATCTTGTGGTGAACCACATGAGAACTAAATATGCTATGCAGCAGAGAGTGACTGAATAGCACAGTCTTGCAGTAATTTTAGCTTCCTGTTAAAGCTGAATCATGCTTCTGGAATAAATGCGCTATTGCAATAGACAGCTTGATTTTCTATATCTTGGAGGCACTTGCTTCATTAATCCTTTAGAATAAATCTACCATATCTGGGCTATAAAAAATCAGATGATTGCTAGATATGATGAAAATGTTAGAGTTTCCTCCATGTCTTTGCTGTTACATGTTTGTTGTTTAAATATCTTCATCCCTGTGTTACAGGCCATTGCATAATAAATAGGGATATAACAATTTTGCTTGTGCTACAGTAAACTGAACACTATGTTTTCTTAGTTCTCTAACCTTATGATTGGGCACATACAACACACTAAATTGGAGAGTATCTTGCTTCTTTACAATTGCAAACCTTTGGATTTATCTAATCATAAAGTCAGAAAATTAAAAATATGTAGTGCTCAGATTGTTATGATTTATTGCTTACTATGTTGAATTGTACAGGTAGTTCTTGACTTACAACCGCAATTGAGCCCAGAACTTATGTTGAGAAGTGAGAAATTTGTTAAGTGAGTTTTGTCCCATTTTACGACTTTTCTTGCCACATTTGTTAAGTGAATCATTGCAGTTGTTAAATTAGTAACATGATTGTTAAGTGAATCTGGCTTCCGCATTGACTTTACTTGTCAGAAGGACGCCAAAGGTGATCACATGACCCCAGCACACTGCAACCGTCATAAAAATGAACTAGTTGTCAAGCATCTGAATGTAAATCACATGACCATGGGGATGCAGCAGCAGTCATAAGTGTAAAAAATGGCCATAAGTGACTTTTTTCAGTGCCGTTGTAACTTTGAATGGTCACTAAATGAACTGGTGTAAGTAGAGGACTACCTGTATTTAATTATAACAGTTTGTTAATATTTCCAAATGATTATGACAATCTTTCTAAACATAATGACCCCTTCTTTTCTCACATTTTGACTAGGAGAAAACAGAATTGTAATTCACAAATCTGGAGGGCATACAGATGTGGAAATCTGGATCGGACATAAGTTTTTAATTTCTTAACCTAGAAAATCCTTTCTCTTTGACTAAAAACTCTTTTTATCTCTTTATATATTTTTGTTCCCCTCAGCTTATATAAAAGGTGGGTGGATCCTTAGAAAAGCTTGGAAAATCTACAATAAGTGCTATACAGACATTAACACACTTCAGGAATTATATCAGAAGAAGATAACTCAGGAATCTTTGACTTCTGATGCTACAAATGATAATCATATTGCTGCAGAAGGTATTACAGAGGATTCACTTAACAGACTGAAAGGTGCTGTTAGCTTTGGATATGGACTTTTTCATCTTTGCATATCCATGGTGCCCCCAAACCTGCTCAAAATCATCAATCTGCTGGGTTTTCCTGGAGACCGCCTGCAGGGGCTTTCTTCATTGATGTATGCAAGTGAAAGTAAGGACATGAAGGCCCCTTTAGCTACGTGAGTAGCTATATTGCAATGTTTTGGTAATAGCTTAGAACTGAAGTAAGTAAGTAAACTTCAAGCCAATGTAAGGTAGCAACATTGTCTTGTCTTTTTTTTAAAAAAAATGATAACATCACCTAGTTCAGGAGTAGGCAACCTTGGCTCTTTTATGACTCGTCTGGCTCAGGAATTCTGGGAGTTGAAGTCCATGAGTCATAAAAGAGCCAAGGTTGCCTACCCCTGACCTAGTTAAATTAGGAGCTGTATTTTGATATGCTTTAAGTTATAGAATTGGGCCTTTAAGTCAGAAAAGAACCTTATTGTGTCCTCAAATTATTTTTACTCAGTGCAAATTGTTGCACTCAGAACAAATTCCAGTTGAACAATTCTTAAGCTCTTAGTTGTTTAAAATATTTTACTATCTTCAGTATGCATATTTAAACCTTCTACTGAGAACTAATTTTTCTGTATTTGTATGCTTCTGTGTAAATCAGTAGTAGAATGCTTTTTTAAAAAATGCAAATATTTGAATTGGCACTCTTCTGTTCTTCAGCTGACAAGGAGCTTTTGTATCCGGGCTCCATTTCAATGAAAGGGTTTCCACACACAAGTCTTTCTTAGATATAGCCTTTCTTCTCAACTTAATGTCATAACTCAATGGAGGAGCCTCTTTAACAGATTCTGCAAGTTTAAGGTTATCTTGGATCTGGAACTGAAACTCCCTGAAATGGTCTGCAATCTGTTTAAGCTACCATAAGGTTCTAGTTCTGTGCTTCAACAATCTGGATAACTCCTAGGTGATTGCAACGAGACAATGAATATATAAACTTTGGTTCATATCTAGTGGCTGCCCTAACTAATAGAAGAAATATAATTAATTTAAGCACTTTATTTCCTCTTGTGAAAACCTTTAATTTTTTTGTTGGCAATGGTGGCAGTGTTTCTGATGTCTGAAGTAACAGAGTTTGTGAGTGACTTTGTTGTGCATTAAAAATATTGGGTACTAATTTGTATATATTTAGAAGGCTTATTTATAATTTGTATAATTGGTATGCTCAGTGGCATTTTCTAGGGAATTGCACATCTCTTCTACTATCAGTTTCAGAAATTGATTTCAGTTTCAGAAATTGAAGAATGGTTCTTTCATTCCACTTTTGTTGAGTAAAAGCTAACTTATTTTTTTAATGTTTTGATAAAATATCTCTGGTAAAGTAATAACTTAGCGATTGGATACTGTTAAACTTTTTGAGAGATAAGGTCTGTGTTGCAGAAAGCTATGCTTCGAAGAGAGTGATATCATTTTTATTTAAATAGGCAAAAGGAATATCTGAATGAGACTGATTTAGTACAGTTTTCATTTAGTGTCTATCTAAACATTATGAAACTATGCCACTTTTTAAAGGAGACATAGGAAGACACCTGAAGTGTTTCAGGTGCTAAATGGGATCCTACGGCCACATATTCTTCATGCCTGCCATAACTCAATCAAATTCTAGACTGCTTCACACAAAATAGGTGTGGAAGTTTTTTATTGTAGCCATTAATGTAATTTACTTGCAAGCATGTTCCAAAGAAAGATGTGAATGCTTGCTTGTTTCAGAGGCTGATTGGGAGCAGCTAATAATACTGTGTGCATGCTCTCATCCTGCCAGTCTAAGCTGCTGAAGTTTTAAAAAACAATTTGTTTAATGGACTGACTATTCCATATTACTGTATATTCTTTGACGCTTCTGAATTTCCAAAGTATGGAACTAGCTAATGTCAATATCTCCTTATATTTTTAGGTTAGCCTTGCTGTGGTACCATACAGTGGTTCGCCCTTTCTTTGCTTTGGATGGCAGTGATACCAAAGCAGGATTGCAAGAGGCTGAGGAGATTCTTCAGAAAAAAGAAGCTGCTTATCCCAACTCATCTCTCTTTATGTTTTTCAAAGGCAGAATACAGCGTTTAGAGGTACCTTGGTGGCTCTTCAGATTCTTCTACGATGTAGTAGTTAAAAAAAAAGAATGTCCAGATTCTGGCAGTACCTGTAGTAATATGCTACTACTAGTAAAAGTGCTATGGTATTGTTTTGTGTACAGTAATATTGTGGCATGTGTTGAGTCCTTGTTATTCAAGTTCTTGGACTCAGAATTGAATGTGGACCTGCAGTAGGGGGTAGTTTGTGATAGATATTTCAGAATAGTGTGGGAATTTGTTCATTTGTTTTTCAACAAACAGTAAGAGATTTTCCTCGGGACAGTTTCTTTTCCCAAATATAATCATATGTTCTTTATGGCATTTCTCCTGGTTGTTGTTTTTTCTGTCATTATCACATATGAGCTGACAGTTTTGGAGAATATGAGTGCAAGGAAGTAGAAGATTAGAGTGCTGAATTTTACATTGATTTCAATAACTAGTCCATGTTTTGTAATTCTTACAAGCATTTCACAAGACGATCATTGCAATTAACTTTCTTTTCTACTGTTGTAGCATGATTTGAATTAACACTTGTAAAGTTGATATTTATATACTTCCACAGTTCGATTGCAGCTTTTTTCTTCTTTTCTTAGTGTCAAATCAACAGTGCCTTGACCTCCTTCAATACTGCTTTGGAACTTGCAACGGATCAGAGAGAGATTCAGCATGTCTGCCTCTATGAAATTGGTATATGATAACATTAATGTTTCCTTTCTGTATAGATATAATAAGTATCTGAATGACTCAGTCTCGAACAGATACATATTTATTTTTGTTTTCAAAATTTATAAGGCTGCCCAATTCAGACATTGTGATTCTGGATAACAGACAGCATATAAATGTAAAATGGCAACCAGGCAGACAAGAAAACGACTACATGTCACACTCAACTAGCCACTAATGCCAAGGGAAAGAGCCAGATCTCAAAGGCTTTCCTCAAGGCAAGAAGATTTGGGGCCTGTTATATGGGAGGAGTGGGGGGAGTTGTTGAAGAGAACAGAGGGAACCGCAGAAAAGGCACACTTTCTAGGTCTCATAAGATGACAAGATTTCTAAAAGCAACCTGGAGCTTATACTTTCTGTTGGTCCCTCAAGAAACTCAGTCTTGTGCCACGTAGGGCTTTAAAGATAATACCTAGCACTTTGAATTGCATTCAGAAGCCTATTGGGAGCTAGCTCACAGAGTATATTTTGCTATTTTAAAAACTATCTTCTTTTGTTATGAATAATATATAGGACATACATAATTTCTGTGTTCAACAATTTTGGTTGTCCCTTTTAGGCTGGTGTAGCATGATAGAAATGAACTTCAAGGATGCATTTGAATCATTTGAACGTCTTAAAAATGAATCAAGATGGTCCCAGTGTTATTATGCCTACTTAACAGCAGGGAAGTATTGTTATATGATTCAGAAGTATGTGCAATTGGGGTGGAAATAATATAGTGTTTGTTCTTTGGTGTCAGCATATTTTATTAAGAAAATTACTCATATAAATAAATACAACAGTATCAAAAAAATAGGTAGTCCTTGATTTATGATTGCAATTGGGACCAGAATTCCCATTGCTAAGCAAGATAGTTGTTACATGAGTCACACCTGATTTTACCACCTTTTTTCTATGGTTGTTAAGCAAATCACTGCAGATTTTAACTGAAGTATGCAGTTGTTAAGTGAATCCAGCTTCTCCCATTGACTTTGCTTGTCAGAAGCCAGCTGGGAAAGTCTCAAATGGCAATCACGTGACCTTGGGATGCTGCAACTGTTGAAAATACATGACAGATCCCAGGCACCCAAATTTTGATCATGTTACCATGGGGATGTTGCAATGATTGTAAGTGTGAGGACCAGTTGTAAGCCTGTTTTTTCAGTGCTGTTGTAACTTCAAATGGTCGCTAAATGAATGGTTGTAAATCAAGGACTACCTGTATTGGGCGCATTTCTGTCGTGTCACTTATAATGAGTTTTTGAACATATGTTGGTCTTGCATTATTTATTGGTAGGTCTATATCTACCTAATCAAAATGTGACCCTGGGTGCCTAATATTAAATGTAACAATGATAGAAAACAACTAAAAGCAAACAAACAGGTAAATGGAGCAAAACCCAACAAATAGCAATTATCTCACCAAAAAAAATGCAAATGCACCACATTCTATATTTCAGTAACACTGAATCTGCCTGCAGATTTGCAGTTTAGCAGACGTGATTCAGAAAGGAAGGGAAAAGGAAAGCCAACAAATTAAGAATCAATGATTCATAAAATTTTCTAAATGTTTAATGGGCATGTTGGATTCTCATTGAGGGGACAGGACCTTTTGTTTTAAATTAATGAAAGGAATTGCTTTTTTATTACAGTGTGTCAAGGAGCTACTGGTGAAGTGAATGGTGCACAGACTGTTTTCAAGGAAGTCCAGAAGCTTTTCAAAAGAAAAAACAACCAAATTGAACAATTCTCAGTCAAAAAGGTCAGGTGAATGTAAACTGGACTGAATTGTACATGGGTGGGCAATCTGCAACTAAAGGACCACATTTAAATCTCAAATTTCCCCCCTCTTCTGTGACTCTCAACAGCCCCTCTAACTGTGCTGCTAAACCTCAGTAGTATAACTCCCTGGAAAATGATAGCAAAGGCTCTAAGGTAGAACAAATGCAATTTAAAAAGAAGAAAGGAAACCCTAATTTGCTTCCTCCCCCAATTTGCATCAGCTACATATTCTGTCTTGATTCGGTTAAAGTGTGGGTACAGTGACAGGCAATAATCTAACTGTAGTTTGTTTATCTAGTTAAGGTATGAGAACCAGCTCTCTTTGCATCAGGTGATTTTTGGAGGAGAGGAATAAGATGTTGTTAATGACGTCAAAGATGTAATAGATGAGATAGTGTACATTTTTGTATCTGATTACTGTGTACAAACCATGTTCCGTTAACAATGTGTTTAGATACATTACTCCAAAAGGCACCGTGGGGGAAAGTGATGGTCATTCCTATTTCGTGCTAGCTTTTGCCAGCCAAGGCAAGAACTGTGGGAAATATAGGTGTTCTCTTGTTCTTTGTCTTTTAACCTTCTTGTCGCCATTAATAATGTGAAGGAAATTGATTGTGCTGGCTTAAGAGGTTTTTTTTAGAGAGAAATTATTGTGGAATTTCTCTAGCAAAAGAATGAACTTGGAATTTCAGACTGCTTCTGTTCAATCCTGCCTGAGGACTGGAGAAGGTCCTGGATGGAATAAGTCGTTTGGCAGGAATACAATCAGCACACACAGCAGTAACTAGAGGTTTTGGATAGAATATTGCAATGTTTTTTCCCTGTGGGGGAAAGACATCTCTGCCTCATCCAAATTATCATTCAAAATGAGATTAAAATATGCCAGATATTTTAATTAGGATTATAAACAATGCAGCTATTTCACTTAGCATTCAGTAGTAAGCAATTGATGGCAATCTCTCCAGGAATAATTTGGACCCCTTGTGGTGAATTTTGGTAAAATGTGCATTTATTCAGTATTTCTGACAGGATTTTATGCTATGATTTATAATAACCGATAATATCTTAAACTATAAAAGGGAAAAAAACTACACTTTAAGCTGCGCTTAAAGAAATAGTAATTTTTAAAAAATATTTATGAATTGTAACCCTACTTATTTGTTCATTACTGTTTGGTTAATGTGGGTAGTTTGTACTTTCATGTATATATTTAAAATTGCCTCCTCCAAAAATAATAATAAAAAAATCTTTATTTGGAGCCAAGGCTTCTAAGTTCAAGCTGAATGTCAGAGATCAAGCAGTCCTCTTGCTCTATGTTCCAGTTCCTAGTTATACAACAATCAAAAGCTGAATCGTTATTCTCCCAATCTCTCTATTGATCTGTTTCAGAGCCAGCACAAAGCCGTCTCTATTCTTGTGACCTTTACTACTGTGCTAAAAAAAAAAAGATTAGGAACAGCACTCTTAGGTTCCTATCCTAGGCTGACTGGACCCCAGAAAATTGAGTCATGGGGCTCTACATTCTGGGGACTGGAGGCTAAAACATATGAAGAACAGTTGCAGGAATTGGGTATGTCTAGTTTAATGAAAGGAAGGACTAAGGATGGCATGATAGAAGTGTTCCAATATTTCAAGGGTTGCTACAAAGAAGAGGGAGTCAAACTATTCTCCAAAGCACCTGAAGGCAGAACAATAAGCAATGGATGGCAACTAATCAAGGAGAGAAGCAACCTAGAATTAAGGAAAAACTTCCTGACAGTTAAAGCAATTAATCAGTCAAGTGGCTTGACTTTGGAAGTGTTTGCTGCTGCATCATGGAAGATTTTTAAGAAAAGATTGGGCTACTACTTGTCTGAAATAATATAGGATCTCCTGCTTGAGCAAAGGGCTGGACTAGAAGACCAAGAGGCCTTCTAACTCTGTTATTCTGTTATTCTATTCTGTTACATTCACTTCTGACGTTTCAGCATTCTGAAATTGTTGACCCTTATGTTGAACTTTCAATGCTTGTTATGTTTTCCCAGCGTAATCTAATTATATATATATATATTTATTTGGAAAATAAAGCCAGTATCTGTTCTGTTTTGCAGGCAGATAGATTTAGAAAGCAAAAACCAACCAAACAGCTTTGTGTATTGGCATCCATTGAGGTACTATACTTGTGGAAAGCCCTTCCAAACTGTTCATTCACCAATCTACAGCACATGAGTCAAGGTACATGTGTGAATTCTACTTTATTTTTTGCATGCAATCTTTCTTCTACAAGACAATATGTTCTCCTGTCCCTTTTTTCAATTCCTGCTAGCAAGCAGTTTGTGCCACTTTGAAGCAAGAAGCTGATTTCCTGATCTTATTCCTGTACCTTGACCTGATTAATTCTAGTGCATAAAATATTAAGAAATAAGTTGTTAATACAGGTAGTCCTTAGGTTATGACCACTTGTTCAGGGATCATTCAGAGTTAAGATGCCACTGAACCAGGTGATTAATCTTTGAAATTTCAGCCATTGCAGTTTCCCCATGGTCATTTGGGCACTCAATAACTCGTAATTACAATGGTTGCAGCATCCTGTAAATTATGTGATTGCCATATGCAACCTTCCCTGCTAGCTTCCCACAAGGAAAATCATTGGGGAAGCTGGCAGGAAGTCACAAGGTGCTCCCATTCCTGCCACTTTTTCACCTGTCCATCCTTATACCTGTTCTTCCTTTCAGAGGACCTGCTTGCCCACCTTCTGTAGCACCCACCCACAGCACCTGCTGGGCCACCCACACACCATAGCACTTGCCTGTGGCACTGCCCATCCCTCAAAACACCATAGTACCCGACCACAGCACCTGCCCACCTATTCCTAACTCTTGCCTTTCAAATTCAAGGTTCCTGAATTTCTGCCTCTTTTCAATAGTCCTCACTTAATGATCCATACAGCCTTCACTTAATGACAGCAATGGGGACTGCCAGTAAGCAGTATAGTCACATAATGTTGCACTTTATTACTACATCACTTGTGATAGAAATTTTGGTCTCAATTGCCATTGTAACCCGAAGACTAACGTTAACAATTTGATTTTAAAGTGTCGAATGTATTTTAGTAAATGCTGTTTTTATTGTAGCTTATTGTTTTGGTTGCTTGTACACCAGTCGTTTTAGAAAAACTTCACAGAAATACATATGTCAAATTGTCAGATTAGCATTATGAAGATTAAATATTCAAGAAGGGGACACATACCTTGCTAAGAATAGATTAGCCCTTTTTGTCCAAATGTTACTAGAGGTAAAGGCTGGGTTAAAAACTTTCTTAGCAGCCTTTTAAGTAGGCTTGCCTCTGAAGAATTTTGAATCTAGAGAATGGTGGTTGTAGAATGGAAGAATAGTATCATTGTAAAATGTATACTCTAATCATTGTGATTTATTCCTATCCTTTTGTCTTTCTAAAGCTTGCCAGGAAATTGACGATTCAACAGTTGTTGGTTTGAAGAACTTGCTACTTGGTGCCATACATAAATGCTTAGGAAATGCTGAAGATGCTGTTCAGGTAACTAAGAACTGTGAAAATGTGCTAGTATATTTGAGCATGTAAGAAAAAAACACAGTTAACAAGAAAACATACCATTAATGGTAATAAAGCAAATGAAAATTGTAGTATGAGAATACGTAGAGCCAAGAGTAACTTCACCTTATAGGCCAAATTCAAACTGTCAAATCATAATCCAACCCATAGAATTTTTCTACTCTTCCTCTTCATCTTTGTTTCTTCATTTATTTCCCATTCCCTCTTTTGCCTAGTTTTGCTTGCAGTAAATTAGTCAGTTTTTTATTAATTGTTTGAAATCCAGGAGAATTTCAGAAATACTTTTAACAGTTTTTCTTTTCTTTTTTTTAGAAAGAATGACATTTATTGATAGTGACTGCAGAGATTATGTGTATGTGTCAAGTCTTTTCTATTCAGCAGGTTTCAAATTTTGCAATTGTCACCTACTATTTATCCATAGCCACTAGCAATTATTTCCCCATCGGGTTTTGATTTGGTTCATTTATCAGTTTGAAATAATAATTGGCAAATGAAGAGATTTTGTGAATGGACAATAATTGGCAAATGAAGAGATTTTGTGAATGAAAGTTTCTGAGTTGAGTGCAAAAATTCATTTTGTTCTTAGAAACAATGGGATAATTTTTCTTTTGCAGTTCTTTCAAAGAGCCCTTAAAGATGAAATCTGCCACCAGAACAACCTGTATGTTCAACCATATGCTTGCTATGAACTTGGCTGTCTTTTATTAGAAAACCCTCAGGTAAAGAGGGAGCGGGAGAGGGAGAGGGAGGGAGGGAGGCAGAGAGAGAGAGAGAGAGAGAGAGAGAGAGAGAGAGAGAGAGAGAGGAGAGAGAGAGAGAGAGGAGAGAGAGAGAGAGAGAGAGAGAGAGAGAGAGAGAGAGAGAGAGAGAGAGAGAGAGAGAGAAAACACCAATGTGAGTAAGAGCTACAATAGATTAACATGACTCTTCTCTTACAATTCCCACATGGAGCACCTAAGAGAAAACACCCTTCTCTTTTAAGAAAAGAGTAGCAGAAGTAACTGGAACTTATTTTTATGACTATCAGATTAATTAGTTTTTTTTTCTATTTCAAGCTAAATATTGTTATTATTTTTGTTTTCTGTTTTTGGAAGATGACATGGAAATTTCTAAAATGATATTTGCTTCTTCCTACAGTCTGTCCCAAGAGGTAAAGTGTTACTGCTTCAGGCAAAGGTAATATTCAGAATGCTTTTAAGTATTTTCTTTGTTGTATGCCGGGGTCTCTTTTTCCTTGCAGTATAGCCAGTGGTGGGATTCAAATATGTGAGCAACCGGTTCTCTGTGTAGATGCCACTTCCGGAAGTCCATTCTGGGCCTGGGCAACAAAAAATTAGCTATTGGTTCTGCTGAAGTGGTGTGAAAGAGACTTATTAACTAGGGTGAATGGAAAAAAACCCTATATTCTTTTGTCTTTACTATTGTATTTGCCGTGGAGAATTAGAAAACATGTTTAACTTCCCAAAACTTACAATTAAAAGAATACACTATCTTGTACGTCCCCTTTAAGTTACCGTGCCTCTTTACTGCTATGGGTTTAATTTTTACCTTTATTTTCTATTACAGGAAGAATTCACAGGGTATGATTTTGAGAACAGGCTGCATGTCCGCATCCACGCAGCATTAGCCTCTCTGAGGGAAGTGGTCCCCCAGTGATGAACAGAAATGCTTTCATCTTTTCTTTTTCGACTTTTGCACTCTGAGGGCAAAGTTGTCAGGAAGATGAGCTTTCCTCCAGAAAACCTTCCTGTGCAAGAGATGTTTTCCTAAAGATGCAAAGATGGTGATGGAAAAATGTTAACAATCTCAACAATTAAGGACTCAGCCAAAAAGGTTAAGTGACCTTAGGCTCAAACAAATGGTGATTTCTCCCGCATAAGTCCTTTTTAAATTAGGAGAAGCTAGACTTTGTGTTCAAGCCCAGCCCCACAGACAGGGGATGGTGCTCGAGAATTCCTTTGAATATTAAAGTCCTTTAGTTCCAATGCTTAGAGATGTCTTTTTTGTTGTTTTTTGTCAAGATGGAGATCATAGCCAGCGGCTGTACAAATGAACCAACAATGACCACACTTTTATTTTCTGTATCGATATTGGCTTGGTTTCTAATATTTTCCCATTTCTGAATAGCTTATTCATTCTTCTGTAGAAAGAAACCCTTTCATGGAAACAATATTATAAAGTTGTTTCAATATGGTATAGAAATGAATATAGTTATATTTAAAAGCCAACTGATATGGAGCTGTAAACTTGCCTGGTGCATTTACAGCTCAACAAACTTGCTCACAGAACTTTTCTTGGTCATTCAGATATATGTAAATAATGAAACCTGCTCCCATATTTATTTTAAATTATGAAAATATATTTAGAAGCTTTATTTTTTAGCCAAATGTTTATTTTTTAAATCCTTAAGCGTTGTGTTAAACATTTGATACCTATTTTAAATGGTAGTGTGGATAATTGGTTGTCAACAAGAGATTTGTGAATCACTCATGTTGCTAAAATGTAGGTTAAACATGAAAAACTTGCCTTCTGGCATTTTTAAACCTATAGTAACACTTCTGGTTTTAGAACTTTTAAAACAATATAACACAGTAGAATTTTATTCAATTTTCTGACTTTTAAAGTTGTCACACATTATTTTAGTGTGTATGTATTTTTAAGGCAAATATTGGTTTTTAAAAACAATTTTAGCATAGCAGCTTTTCCTATATACTGTGAAACTTTTTTTTATGGCATTAAAGCCTTATTTTCAATTTCTGAAATTTCTCTTTCACAACTCTGGATTCTCACCTGAACTGCTAAATGCTTTATCTTGTTTGTAGTTCACTTGAACAAACAAGCCCCAAAGAGCATTAAAAAAGAAGAAATTTACAGATCACGATTTATAGCTCATATGGAGTTACATTCATAAGGGCTTCCCTGTTCGCTTTCAGCATTAGGTAATACTGTCATGAGCACAGGATAGTTCCTGTCCTGTGTTATGAGCTCAGTGTTTGGATCATCAAATATGAATTGCAGCCAAATGACCAAGTACATCATGTAACTGCTAAATTGCATAGGCTGTTTCTTGCTACCCTCTCCAAAAGTACTTAATGGCTACTAAATCTGCAGTGCACTTTTTTAAAAAAATACTATATTCTCTAAACAATTATTTCTGACATGATCGTCAAACATTCTTGATTTATTGCTTTGGGAGATTTTGTTCTAAATGTTCAGTTTCCTATCTTGTATTTCAATATACAGACATTGGTGTTTGTTGTCACATTGCCATTTCAGTGGAAACAAGGTATGATTGTCCATACAATTTGCCCTTTACAAACCAGGAATTACCAGAGAGACTGTGTTCTTCAATATGGCGCCCATCCCATATCATCACCATCATCAGAATCACATCAGAGCTGCCATTGCTTAGTCTGATTGTAATCCTGATTCTGGCCTTCTCTGTAGCAGCTCCAGAATTTGGAACCTGCTCCCTACTGAGAGAGGAGGATTAACATAATTTGTGGCCTTTAATAAGGCTTTTACACTCACTGCCTTGTCCCTAGCTATTTTAATAGTGGCTATTTATTTATATTTTTATTTGTTTCAGTATTTTTACCCCAGCCTATTAAAATGACTCTAATTCGCTCACAGTCATAAAATATCCAAATAAAACAAGATTAATTAAGTACTGTATAAATTCTAAACCAGTTGTATAATTCTAAACCAGTCAGGTAAATCATTGAAATGAGAAAAAAAACAAATAGGAAATTGTAACAGAGATATAACTTCTGTCTTGCAAATAAGACATCCAAGCAAGCATTTTAAATCCAAAATATCTTGCAAAATCATCTTCGTTAACTTTCTTAAAGATAAAATGTTCCAGGATATCGGGATTTCTGTGGAGACATTATTTCATAACGATGGCAGCTACTGAGACCATTTCTAGGTTCCTCCACATCTCCTGAGACAAATATTTGGAATGGACAGTTGGCAAACAAAGCCTTTATAGGCCAGAAACGGCAATTTGAATTATCTTTTGAAATTAATTTGAAACAACACAGTACCTTGAAGTTACATGGCTGAAGTAGCTTTCACTTGTCAGCAGTTTTCTAGTAGTTTTTGGGTAGCCTCAAATAAAGTGCATTGCCATTATCACATTTTGAGAGGACGAGGGCACAAACCACGCTTGTCAAAACCTTCTGCTCCAAAAAGGGCCTCAACTGGTGCATCAGTCAAAGTGGAGCAAAGGCCACATCTTCCACCTGTGGATCATATTGTGGCTATACGTTCAAAAGTCATGAACCTGCTTTTTAAGGTGGAATGCAACCCTATCTACAGCCAATATAGTAATCAACAAAGGACCAGATAGTTTCTGGACTAGCAGCACCTTACTCTTATTGGACTTAAGTTTCAGCTTGCTTCAACTGTTAATTCGATATAGACTACAGGCACCATATGAGGACTACCAGTGCATCAGTAGTTTGACCTGAGATTGAGCTACACCATGGAATATTAACATATTGATGGCACTTCATCCAGAAATGATCTCTCCTACTGGTTTCATACAAATGCTAAACACAGAGGCAAGAATGGCATGAAGTAAATGATCAAGGGCTACATTCCTGATCCTCAGCACTAATGATTGGAGCTACCCCTACAGAATGAAGTGGAACCATAGCAAAACAGTGCAACATACCCCAAATCCTAGCAGATGGTCCAGAAGAAAAGCATGGGGGTGTGTGTGAATGTTTTTGAGAGGTCTATGGGATCAGGAGAGTTGACCTTTCTTGACAAAGATAATCTACCAGAGTGTCCTATACTGTTTTCATCTTCATTAAAAAAGGAAGATGAATCTAGGTGGAAGTCATATAATACAACATCACTTCATCTGTTTCATCTCCCAGAATTTTTGGTAAATGAATGGGCAATCAAAGCAGAGGGAAAGGCTCCTCAGGAGAGAGCACATCCAGCATTCTCATCTCTCAGTTTCAGAGCTTGACTAGTTCCATGGCAGAACTATCTACCAAAAATCCATAAGCGGCTACCGAAAACGATGCAAGTTAAGTGTTCAGGTAGCTCATTCTAATTAGCCCTTACCCTTTCAGATGTCACTGGTGCCAATAGGCAACATATTGACTGGGAAGTGATCTGATCATGACTGTTGCCATATTCTTAACTCAATCCATCTGCTCTGGCTTGAAGAAAATGGCAACATATGGACCTAACATTCAAAGCAGTCCAAGGCCAAAGTATGCATCAATCTGGCCTCTTGAGCTCAGGGAAAGGGCATCTGAAGAAAAAGAGACAGACCAAGTGGACGAACCCCCCCCCCTTCTCTAGGAACAGCTTCTCCTTTCATAGTTCCCATTGCTCATCACTGTGGTAATTTGCCTCATCCTCACCCTCAGAGGGATCAAGGTCTTTAGGATCTTCCTAACAAGAAACTATTATTTCCTACCCCTCCATGAACTATCTGTCTGGCCAATGACATTACTGGATTATATTTCAAAATCCCCACATCCAACTACAAAATGAATCTCGTAACCCTGAATAAACTCTTGAGGCTGCCAGATACCAACAACAGTTCACTCTCCCAGCTTAATTCACCAAAAGTTTACTTGCCTCCAATAATTGATGTCCCAAAAGTTCCTTACTTAGATATAGCATATTCTAGTCAGAATGCTAAACATTCATCAGATTCTTGGATAGTCAAGTTTAATCAGCATTTTAAATCTGGTTTTAGCAGCAGCACTATCTCTACATATTTGTGACACAAGGGGCTTTTGAGTGCCCAGACCCAAAGGAACCCCAGCCATCCTGCATTTGGAAACTTAGGTAGCTAAAGAAGAGGAAAAATCATTTTAGGATGATGAGAATACAGGATGGGGGAATTCTGTGTAATTCTGAAAATAGTTTTGATCAACTGCGATTTATAGATATATAATTTCTCTGCATTATTTTGCTGTAACAGTTTCTTATTTGTACAAGCATTTTTTTCAACATGCAGTCTTTCACAAAACAAATTGCTAAATTGAAAGAGGCCCACACTATAGGTTGTAACAAAATTGCTTAAATGACTTGTGATTACATGCCAGCAGGGGTGTTTGCAGAATATGATGAAAATATCCAAGGTGGCAGCCACAATGGTGTGATCAAAGATCCACTTGTTTTTATGTCTGCTGGGTGTGTATAAAAATGGATGAAACTTTAATTGCAGCATCATAGTTGCCGTTTTTGATTTTTTTTTTAACCATACTCTGCGAACGTGCCTACATGTCAGGAAATGTGTGAACAAGATAAATTTGCAAAACTTGTATATTCTGATTTTGGAGCCATTGGCTGGTTCCTTCAAAAGCCTCAGTTTTATAGAGCCCACATTACCTGGCCATGGATATGCTTCTGTCACCATGTCTGCTCTGAGATGCATTAATCTTGCAAGCAAAATGGCTGTCTGGTATATGAATAGTAGCTTTCTGCTCCAACCACTCATGTATTCCCACGCCCACTACTACTTTCTCCATATATACCTTCTAGAAGAAACCTCTTGTAAACATGAAAGGTATTTTTATATTAGATTATGCTGGTGATGAGAACAATCGCGACTGTATTTTATGTAATCAGAATGTTTTTATATTTTAAAGCTCGGAGGCATGATCTAATGGCAATAATAGACTAAGCATCTCATAGGTTAATATATATTTTAAGAATTTTACCAAGGCAGATATATTTTTGTTGTTGATACTTTTTACTGCATCAGTGAATAACTTGTCATGTCATTTTAGATTGTTTGCTATGATATACTATAAGTCTCATTTATTTAACATTTTTTTAAAAAAAATATTTCTGCTTAATTAAATTAAAACTTGATATTTTCATGTTTCAATGTCTTGCAACCAGGATGAGTAACATGATTTTCTTCTGTTGTTGTTGTCTTCCAACTCCCATCAGCGATAGCTAAGAAGGGTAATTGTGAGGGATTAAATATTTATGAAGGAGAATTCTTACTT